TTGGCTTCTAAGCCATCCTGGCTCATTGGGTTTGTTATTTGTGATATAGTTATCTTTACAGATGTTTATTTTTCAGAGACCTTGTCTCTCCAAGTCTAGTTGACTCTGTCAATTCCTTGTGTGTGTGTCCTTCTTGGGGCCTCTGCTCAGAAGGGAGCTTGAAATAGTTGAGGCTGTACCTGGAGGCTCCACCTGGAGGCTCCAGAAGATGAGGAATGTAGTATTCTTGAGCTGCAGGAAACTGTGCTTGGAAATGAAGGAAATGCCACAGTTTTGCTTTCTGAGGGTTTAGTTACTGGAGGTCAGCTACAGTCCAAAAATAATAAATCTCCCCAACCATCGACATCATCATGGCTCCATGGTCCAGAATCACCCAGAGCAGATGATCCTCCTTCTGACATTATGTCACAATGCCTAGTCATTCACCTCACTTCATCAAATCATATTGGCATTTTATCTTACATCATCACAAGAAAAAGTGGGAGTACAATACAAAGATATTTTGAGACCACATTCATATAACTTATTATAGTACACTGTTATAATTATTTGATTAGCTGTTGTTAATCTCTTACTGTGCCTAACTTATAAGTTAAACTTCATCATAGGTACGTACAGGAAAAAAACAGTATATATAGTGTTGGGTACTACTCTCCACGGTTTTGGGCACCCGCCAGGGATCTTGGATCCAATACCCGGCAGATAAGGGGGGACCAGGAAGAGCAGCCCTGTGTGAGCCCATGGCAGTGGTCCCAAAAAAAGAAAATGAGAAATCCAAGACAGACCCAAAGTGAACTAGGGGACCCAGGTTGGCCAGGAAGAGATATTCAAAGCCTGAACTCGACCAGCCAGCTTTTAAAGGCACCCCTCTCTAGCCACCTGTAGCGTTAAGAGACGACCCCCTCCACACACACCCCCAGTTCTTGTTCTGGAGGGCCCCCAATTCTGTGCGGGCGCTTTATATCCATCTCTGTGTGCTTAGGGTTTACCTTCTGCGTCTTAGTCTATTCGCTCGTTTGTAAGCTTTTCCCTTTTTTTTTTTTTCGGTGTGTTCTGAGAAACTCACTTTTAACAACTTTCTCCCAGCTCTCGCAGACGGTCCAGAAGCTCCTCTCTCCTTTCGCCTGCACTCCCAGCTTACCTCCGCAGCTGGAGAGCTGCCCCGTCCCCTCCCGGCTCCCCGCCTTCCCTCCCAGCGCTGCCAGCGGGCTCCCCGCCTTGCCCGCTGGCTCCGCACTCAGCTCCCGGCGAGTTGGGGGAGAGGGGGCGGGG